GGATCGGTATGTATCTCGCACGGGGCTCGCTGGAGCTCGGGGGTCGGACGGGACCCGGGGAAGGGGCTGCCAGGCTGGGCTGTGTCCGAGGGCTGAGACCTGGCCGGAGGGAAGGATTAACGGGTCTGCCTGTGCTGAATGTTTCTTGTTCCTCCTCCCCCCGCCCCGTCCTCTCCAACAGGCCAATTCATTCAGGTCTGTCTGAAAGGCAGCCGGGGTAAGTGTTTTTACCTGAAGCCATGGGTGTCTTTGGCACAGTTAAGGCAGGTGTTTTGGAGGAACCTGTCTATGCAGCGTCAGTTGGCCTTAATAATACAGTTATAATAAGCCTTTATTAACGGAGGGGGTAATATTTTTTCCATTTTGTCAGTGTAGTGCTATAAAACCCATAAATTGTCCATTTGACTCGGTTTTGGCCCTGTTATTTGTAGCCTGAAAAGTAGCATTTGTACCCTGTTCTGGGCTTGGAGAGGTATTTAATACTGGCTTGATTCTAATCTCTTGACAAATTGGATTGGATTGTAAAATTTCTACTTAACCTCTTTTCCTTCTCTGCCGTTTCTTGATCAACCGTAATGAACTTGGGATCTTAAGTAATTATTTAAGGGCTAGCTGGAGTGTCTCGTTATATTTGGGGCATCCACATTGTGGGGATAAATGGGAGAGACTTAGGATGATTTCACATTAGGTTGGCAGACTTGGACTTTCTCCTTTACTTAATCAGCTAGGATTTATTAAATCTGGTATGTGAAACAGACTGATATCTTAAGCTGACATGGATCTGCTGTAAATTATACAGGCCATGGAAAATTTCAGGCTAACTTCTTACTACTTCCTCTTGGATTTCATGTAATATTTGATACACTAATGATTAAAAATCAGCAAAATATCCCCTGGTGGCACTGCAGAGCCACTATACCAGCAGTACATTTGTATTTTTGCTTCATCATGGATCAACAGCAAAATTGCCAAAACAGTTGTTGTGGTACCACATATGGGCCAGCACTGAACACAAATGCTTCACAGTCAGGAGAACTTGATTCAGTCAGTCTAACGAGGGACCAGCACTGAATCTGAGGTGCTGCTGTAGACCCCATGCATCTGTAGAACCTTGAGGTTCCTGTTCTGTAAGCAAAATGTTTGCTTTTAAATGTCATGTGAAGAAATATATAAAACTTACTAAAATAGCTCCCTTTTCTAATTATAAGGCAGCGAATAGATTTTTCAAATCTATATTTGGAGTTACAGTTTACTTCTGTCATGCTGTATGCATGTGAAGCCTGGGCTGGAGAAGTAGACTTCCTGGGAAGCAAATGGCTAACATAAATTTAGTATGCATCTGGAACTTGAAGCAAATACACTGCTGCTGAGTGTCTGTACAGCTGGCAGTGGTCCACAGAGCTCTTGCTTGGTAGCTGAACAACAGAAAACTGGCCAGTTCAGTCTTCATAGCTGTCAGTGGGAGACAATGGACAGGAATTTTTGTCAGTGTAGGTCAAGACTGACAGTCGCTCATTCATGGGGAATGAAGATGTGATGCTAGGAAGCCAGTGGAGTGGTAGAAACATGAATTCTACTTTGCTTTCAGCTCTTTGTATTTTGTAATAGAGAACAGGCTCCACTCCTGGTTACTTAAGGAGAACAAGCAAGCTTGGAGGGAAGAATGTGACTTGCTTCCTTCTCTTGCAACACAAAGAATGGGGTGAAGCTTCATATATTTCCAGACACATATCAGCTGATCTGGGTGATTGGAATCCTGTGGCAGAATCTATGGAAAGCTTTCAGAACAGAGTGATCACAGAACATGACTCCTTCTGTGTTGCATGATCCTTTGAATACTGGGGCTTACTGCATATTTTATAGGGGCTGTGCCTCATCTGAAATAATGGTATGCCTGCTTGGCTAAAAAAATTATTCAGTTTAGTAACTGAAGCACCTTGCACAACACAGCAGTACCCAGTTTTTCAGGGGAACAATTAAATCTGAGATACAGTGGTGTTGACAGACTTGTGCTTATGACTACAGTAAACTTTGTATATGATAATTTTTAATGGCCTTTTCTAGGAAGAAGCTTTTATGATGAAACTTGATCATAAAAGATGGAAAGAGAAAATTGAGTTCCCCTTAACTGTGTGCACTTCACACAAGGCTACAGTTCAAGTTTTTTTCTCACTATAGAACTGTTTTCTCAAGTACAACAGTGTAAAAGACTTCCTGGTAGTGAGGCATAGTGAATAAGGGGTTTAAGAGGCACTCACACTAATGTTGTGATTGGGTATGTAAATGGGCACAAGGAAGGGTATGTTAGAATAAACTTTCTTCAGAGGAATGAAATATTATAAGGAAAGGGGTTTTTTAGATCTGGCAAAAAAATAGTAGAATACTTGGATAATACTAAACTTAATAGTTTATCTTAACACTGAACTAGCTTTAGACTATTTTGCAGGACTCTATTCTAGTCATGGAAGCAAACGCAGCTTGCATGTAGTCTTTCAATTGAGCAGCTTTTTAAAGCAATTTATAAACCGAAAATTTACTGGGGTAGATAAGCTGTTGGTAGGAGGAATACATCTGCTTTCTACCTCTTGTGTTTTTATGTGATAAGCTAGACAACTGCTGCATAGACTGCTGTGACTATTTTGTATGTGTACACCATGATGTCACACAAGTTTGAAGCTTTGCATGTGGAAGGGGGGAGAAGAAACAAAACCTGCTACTGATTTGTGATTGCTGTCTATGACCTACTGCCTGCTTTTATTGTCTAAACTGTCTTCATCTTAAACCCAGTTGTATGTCATCTCAAAGGCATTGTTTCTTGAATCTTACTGTTAGATGCTTTATCTCTTCTTCAGCTTTATAGAAAGACAGAGTTTTCCTCCCTGTGTGCCACATCTGGCTCTGTCAGTGGGCAATCAGCAGGAATAAAACTCTTGTAGAAGGTGGCATTACTGTAGAGTGCTCCATGCTAACTGTTGTCTTAAGTCCTGTTTGAAGCTGCATTTTTCTGTCTGGATGATGTTTTCACTTCCTGCTTGCTATCTGAGTGGGTATAAGAGCTAAAATATCTTAAGTGTGGTATAGCTTTTCTGTTATAGCCCAATATAGTGTCTATAAACAAGAACCTTGTAATGCCTTTTCTTTCTGAAGACATGTGAAGCTATGAACTGCATGCAATAAGCAACTTTGTTAGGGGCTGTAAATGTCTTAACACAGTTCTGGGAAAAATCTGTTAGCTGTACCCCTAAGCATAGTTGTTCTCTTGTCTTTCAGCAATTCCAGTCCGAAGCTCCAGGCTACCATTGTTGTCTGATGCCATGCCAGCACCAGCTCATCTGTTTCCATTGATTCGTAACTGTGAGATTAGCAGAATATGCAGTACTGTATGTTACTGCCACCATAAACATCTGTGTTGTTTATCATCTCATTTTGCTCATCGTCACTTCAGATATGCACCTCAGAAGAAATTTGCAGCACTTTATAGGCCAAAAGAGAACTTTAATCACTTTATTCATGCAAGGGATTATGCTTCTACGCCACAGAGATTTTACCTCACTCCTCCACAGGTCAACAGCATTCTGAAGGCAAATGAATACAGTTTCAAAGTCCCAGAATTTGATGGTAAAAATGTAAGTTCTGTCCTTGGCTTTGATAGCAATCAGTTGCCTGCTAATGCTCCAATAGAAGACCGGAGGAGTGCTGCCACTTGCTTACAGACAAGAGGAATGCTTCTGGGTGTGTTTGATGGCCATGCAGGTTGTGCTTGTGCTCAAGCTGTCAGTGAAAGACTGTTTTACTACATTGCTGTCTCTTTGTTACCTCATGAGACTTTACTTGAAATAGAAAATGCTGTGGAAAGTGGCAGAGCTCTGTTGCCCATTTTACAGTGGCACAAGCATCCCAATGATTATTTTAGCAAAGAAGCTTCCAAGCTTTACTTCAATAGTCTAAGAACTTACTGGCAGGAGCTCATTGATCTCAACAGTGGAGAGACTACTGATGTGAAAGAAGCTTTAATTAATGCTTTTAAGAGGCTTGATAATGATATTTCTTTGGAGGCTCAAGTAGGAGATCCAAATTCTTTTCTGAACTACCTAGTACTGCGAGTAGCATTTTCTGGTGCAACTGCCTGTGTGGCCCATGTGGATGGTGTTGACTTGCATGTTGCAAACACAGGTGACAGCAGGGCAATGCTTGGGGTTCAGGAAGAGGATGGATCTTGGTCTGCAGTTAATCTGTCCTATGACCACAATGCACAAAATGAACGTGAAGTGGAACGTGTGAAAATGGAGCATCCAAAGTCTGAAGAGAAAAGTCTCGTGAAACAAGACCGTCTCTTAGGTCTCCTGATGCCTTTCAGAGCTTTCGGTGATGTGAAGTTTAAATGGAGTATTGAACTACAGAAGAGAGTAGTAGAATCAGGCCCAGATCAGCTGAATGACAACGAATATACAAAGTTTATTCCTCCAAACTATCACACTCCCCCATACCTCACAGCTGAGCCAGAAGTCATACATCACAAATTACGGCCGCAGGATAAGTTCCTGGTTTTGGCCACAGATGGGCTGTGGGAGACGATGCACAGGCAAGATGTGGCTAGAATTGTAGGGGAGGACCTCACTGGTGGTTACCATCAACAGCCCATAGCTGTTGGTGGCTATAAGGTAACTTTGGGACAGATGCATGGTCTCTTAACAGAAAGGAGAGCAAGAATCTCTTCAGTATTTGAAGATCAGAATGCAGCGACTCACCTGATACGTCATGCAGTGGGTAACAATGAGTTTGGCACTGTGGATCATGAGCGACTGTCCAAGATGCTTAGTCTTCCAGAAGAGCTGGCTCGAATGTATAGAGATGACATTACAATTATTGTGGTGCAGTTCAACTCACATGTTATAGGTGCATGTCAAAATGAGGAACTGTGAATTTAATGTAGTGAGCTAGTTACCAAAGTTGTAACAATGGCCAGTATGAGCAGCAAATAAAAAACAACCACCCAACAGTAAAACCCAAAAAACCCCTCAGCAAACAAACTGGTTGCTTGCTAGATTCAGCGTATCTATTGTTCCTGCCTTCCCCCAGAGCTCTAAATACATGGGAAGTGCCATTGACCATTGAAGAGGATGTCACAGCTTGGGAAAAGAAGTTTTTGTAATAACTTTGCACTATTGATTTCATGAATGCTGCTAGAACAATGTCTTGAATTTGGCAGACTTGGATGGAGGAGGGAAGGAGGAGGAAGAAGAATTAACTATCAAAGTTCTGGCTGTTCAAGAAAGAAAGCCGGTTTATAAATACCTGTAAATATCTACACATTATCCTAAAGAAAAGATGAGTAAAAAGGAGTATTGTTGAATTCTTACAGGGCTAATCCTTGCAAAGTAGGTATTTGTGAATATATTGTCTACTGTTTCTTCTAAGCAGAAGGTCACTTTAACCAAGTAAGTCTTCAGTGTAACAAAGTTGTCTCACTTTCATACAGAGAATGTCATTCACTTAAGGATATTTGTCTAAGTGTTGATTTTCCAATGCAGGTCTAAGCCATAATCAATACCTGAGGTTCTGTTACAGCTTAATTGTATCTTATGCACGGTAACTTCTAAACTTCTTGTGCATTAATAGTTTCTTGGCTGGTTTCTGCACAACTTACAGGGCAATAATACATTACAACATGCAGTAAGATACCAGATAACTTTGTGGAGGACTTCAGGTTGCAGCATGAAGAAACTTTCAGACTTTGCAAAAAGTCAGTGGTGTTGGTCAAAACTGTGTTGGTGTTCTTAAGGGTCATGTCCTTCATGGATTCCACCCCTGTCTGGTGTTACTTATCTGGTAAATAAATTTTCACCTGAAAAGATAAGGAAATTATTGCTAACCTCTTTGTGGCTCTAATTTGCACTCATTTTCACTTTGGCTATTTCAAATGGTCACATACTGGATGTCTTGCACTTGAACTCATTTGTAAGTTGGGTCAAAAACTACAAATTAAAAAAAACTGAAGTATGGATTGTAAATAGTGTTTTAGTTGGGAAACTAACTGGCATGCATGTGTATGTTTAATGGCTTTTTCTAGCAACTTCTTTACTAGTGCTCTGTATTTCTGGACAGCTGGTGCATGCATGTTCTTAAGAGTCCAGAATGCTATCACAGAGCAATCTCTGAAATGGGTGTCTCTGGCTTGTAGTGGTTGAATTTGAACTTAAAAGATTGGCTATAACTTGTGTGCCTAAAGTTGTTGGGCTTGTACCTGTAAAAAGTAGGGACTGACAACTAATTTATCAGTCATTGTATCTATTTTAGGTATGTTGCATTGTATACAGATGTATTTTAACCTGTCCTTAGGTTAAAAACTTAAATGCTGGCTGAAATACCAGCCCTTGATGACTAAGAGAACACGTGTAACTTGATTCCTGTGTTCTAGAGAACAATCATAGGTCAGCTTATTACACTTTAGCAAGATGTTTCAGTTAAAATACCTCCCCAGCCTTATCATAGCTAATTAAATCAACACTTTAACAACCTAGCTTATTTTGGTTATTTGAGTAATGTGGCGTTTTCTACTAAATACAAATATTGCCAATTAATGCTGCTGTTACACAGGGTACACACAGTTTGAACAACGAACCTGTGCTATAGTGAACATTGGCTCCTTGAACTCACAGATGCTATGTGTACTTAGTGGCCTGCAACTTTAGTATGTCTGTTTCTTTACCCAGCCTTAAATATCAGGATCAATGTTGCTGTAAGGTTAGTGGTATCTAAGTTCACATTCAAGATGTGCGCAACCTTTCTTTATTTGAAGGGAAAAGGGGAACTCTAAAACGCTTAGACAAGTACTGGCTGTTGACATTGCTTCTGTATGTTGTGTGTTGGTGACTGTGTCATTAGCTAGGTCAATAGACTTTATGTTCTGTCATTCAAATGCAGTATGTATCTAAGCTGTTGCAGTATTTAACTTTCTTACTTTTTTACTGTTAAAGCTCTGTTACATGTATTGATGTATTTAACCTATGATTATTGATACGGATTTGGTACAAGTCATAGCTAGAAGAAATGAACATTGGTCCCATGGATACAACTTTCATTGAGGAAAAGCTGCTTTTTATAGCAAAGATGCATATGTATGGGGTCAGACAAAATAATATTTATGTATTGCTTGGAGACTTGCTCAGTATGTATGCAGTGAACAGAAGCGGCATAACTGCCTCCTGAAGAGGTGATCTGAACAAACATCTTTTAATGGATTCCAATAAAATGATCAATTATGCAGAAATCCATGTGTATTGGATTAATATAGAATGTGATAGCTAATTCTGCTAGGGCTGAAGTGTATGAATTACTTGTATTTCAGAAATGTGTCCTGTTTTATGAATAGACCAGATGGCCAAACAGACCAAAGTATAAATGGAAACAGATTGAGAATTGGACTTCAGAGCTCTTAAGTGCCACTGTGAGGCTTGAACCCCTACATCGGGTGCGCTGGTGCTGCCACCCCCTGGCAGGAAAGCTCAAATCTTTCTGTCAGTATCACTCTGCAGGTCTTGGTTCCTGTTGTCTCATGCTTAACCTTCAGGGGCAGTGCTGCAGATGAAGCAGCATAGTTTGAGATCATTAAGTTGTGAACTGTACCCTATATAGAGCCATACAACATTTCAATATACCTGTGAAATACCTATGTGCAGATTAAATGGTGTGAGAATGAATTGATGGTAAACTAAACAGAAACAACTCTTCTACCATAGGCAGAGGACATGTTCTGTTTGCATTGTTTACCAAACTTCTTGTGTTGCAGGAGGTATGGCTACTTGTATCTGAGGGGGGGTTGCTGTGATTACTTTTCCAAATGAGGATTTCACAGCTGCAAATACATAGCTCAACACGGAAGGATGGCTGAATCTTGACAGTCAACACAAGCCTTCAAGTTCACCTTTAAATCTTAACGCTGTAAAACTGTTACAAGAGAATGTGTTAACAGTTCTGTTAAACTAATACTAGGCAAGAGAGGGAGTAGGAGATCTTCTCTTAGTCTATGCTTTCAACTTGAGGTTCTGTTAATTCTGTTCCCTTGTGTTCAAAATGGTATATTTGCTTTTGACAGTATTTTACAACTACTGTTGTGATAACTTCTGTATTCTCCATTTGCCTTCTATGTGCATGACTTGGTGAGTACAGAATTTATTAAATGATTTCCCTTTCCACTCATTTCCTCATTGCAGGGCAATGAGGAAACTTTGGGTATAGCAGACTTGTAAAACATGATGCATACAGCAAGGAGCATAGTCTTATCATGAAATGTTTGTAATTAGACTCTTAAACTTGGGGCCTGTACTTAAACAATTTTGGAGTGAGAGGATGCCTGGTAACTATTTGTGGTGAGTGCTCTGCAGAATGGTTAGGCTGCTCTGCTCTTCCTCACTGGGGAGGCGTATTTCTAATGAGATTACCTGGCATGGATGGGTAATTTGGGTTTCTAGTTCTAACCATCTGTGGTATCCAAAGCTCCCTGGTGCAGACAGTCTGTCTGGTTTCATGACTAATAAATACATGCCATCTGATTTGCACTGGTGACCACTGTGAGCATAGGCTGCTGAACACTGTCACCAATGCTGCTGCACAGGAGTCCCAGAACAGTACTAGCACAAGGCATTTTAGGATGCCAAGGGAGTTGGCATCTTTTAGTTGATGTGTTTCACCCTATGTAAGAAACTTGTGCAGCTCCTGATTGTTGTTCAGTAATGTATAAATAGAAAAGAAAAAATCTGTGGAGTATCTGGCCAAAATGCCCTGTCTTTAATTTCATGCAGCTTAGAATGAAGCAGATACTATGGGTAGGAGAAGTAGCTTTCTTCCAGCCTGCCAAATGGCATGCTGCAGCTTGATGTCATTATCTTGCTATATGTACAATAAGAAGTTAAACCTAACTTAACAAAATGAGAAGATCCAAAGTGTCTGTCTCCCAAGATAATCATCTATATCCTGCTGAGATGTGCTTCAAGTGTGGTAGCATTCCCCAAGCACTGTTTCTTTTGGCTGATGCTTTTTTCTGTTCAGAGGCTTAGGTCTAGAAGTTAAGGAGGCACTTCAGTGTTGTGTGTTTGGTCCTGTGAAGTGGGCAGTAGAATGAATGTGTTCATGGTTTTTCATGCTAGGGTAACTGTTTTGTACTTTTTCCCTGTTTTTATTTGAAAGCCCTCCTTTGCCATGTGCCTTTATTTTTAGGATCTCCCTTGTTTTGCTTTTTATTCAATAGTGAATGCAGGATGTATTGATGTCTTTCCTAGCACTGAAGTATTTGTGCAGAAAAAGCCTTGCTAATGTGTTCTGGATTAAATTATTTATTCAACAGCTAATTGCTGTGCGAACAAGTAGATATTGTCCCTTTGTCAGGAGTGTGTTGTCAGATACAACCTATCCAAACTCACTGGTAGAATATATTTCAGTTTATTGTTAACCTGATTTACCAAATCTTGATCAGGGAGTTATTTCTTGTAGTTTACTCCTTTAAAATACAGTGTTAATTAGCCTGTAGTTTAAAGCTAAATGTAGAAATGTTCTATCATCAGATACCTGTGCAGTGGAGGAAACGCATAGGCTCACTTTATTTTCCTCCTGTTGCAGCCAGTTAGGTATTAAACATTATTAATGACTCATTTTTTTTAACTCCTGTCTTGTAAAAGCCAAAGCTTGGAACTAGTTCTTGAGTTGCTCTTCCCATGGGAAGTAGGTTCTTAGGGGAAGGGAAAATAAAAACTAGACCAAATCTTGTAATTAATCCTTTAAATGGACAAACCAGTTTGAGGTTTGGTCCTTCTGTTTGGTATCCCATCTGTGTGAATGCTGAAGCACAACCCATGTCAGTTGTACATAGTGTGTTGTTTCAATGGAAGAAACCGAAGTAGAACAACTGAACTCAAAAGCCAATCACATTGATGTGGTGGTAAGCCCAGGGTCATATTTGTGATGTGGTAGATAAGACTCTGCTCTTGGTTTATTATGCTGGTTATGCCTTCTGTTTTATTTGCTGCTCATATTTTAATAATTGCTGGGTAGTGGGAAAGGATAAGGTGACTTTCATAACTGGATCACAAA